CATGGTCATGACTCGTCATATTCAGTTCTCTGTTACCATCATCGGAGAGCTGATCATCACTATCTACTTCGAATTGTTCCAAGAGCTTAGCATGTGCTAACTTAGCTTCCATTTCTTGCAATTCCTTCCTTTCTGCAATCTCAGCGAATCGTCGTTTCCTTTCTAGTTCTAATTCTTGTCTTTGCATTTCTAGTTCTAAATGCCGAGCTTCCCTATCTAATTGTTGTTTTTCTTTCAGTTGCCTTAACTGCAACTGCAACTTGTTTCTACTGATGCCTGCATTACTTTGCCTTGACATGACACTTAATGCAGGGGCAGACCTAGAAACTCTAGGCGAATGGGGTTCATCAATATCTTGAACAACAGAGTGGGCCTTTGGGGGCATTTGAACATTGCTGAGCCATTCAGCAGTATATTGTGTTGAAACATCTTCTCTCTCGTCTCTTACTGCATCCATATTCAACCGTCCATCATTATCCCTTCTAGACCCCATATGATCCAAAAATACACCTTTTATCACGGTGCAAGACTATTTATTCACAATAATCAAACTTTACTTGAAGAAACTCACGCTTCATTAAGCCACAAATATACACAAATAATCACACAATAGCAATAACTTACGAAGAAGTCAGAAACTTTGTTGTTCTTGAAAGGAATTATCCGAAACGCACCACGTATATATAAATTGAATCCATATTAAATTCATATATCAATATATTTTCGTACAAAACATCGCTTTAAAGGTGGTTTCTATAGAAACAATACAAATACATTATAAACTACGCTACAAGAAACAAATTACTTTGCAAATACATAGAAAACAGGACCAAAAACATGCAAATGTACCTGACTTTTGCCCTTCGTAATCCGAACAAACAATCAAAAAATATAAACCCAACATGTGTTTTTATCACGTGATGTCCTGCCTGCTCGCAGGCGATTAGGCCCTACTTTTCGGGTTAGATCCTACACGCCAGCTTTGGATATTTGACAATAAATATACCATATTACCAATGCATAAGCTCTTTTGGTTTGGTTTGAACTTTGAACATGTCTGTTTTAAAAGAAAGGTAAGCAAAACGTATGAATATATTATTAACATGTTTTTAAAATTACATGAATGAATATCATGCTGCCTATAGCAGTGTTGAAATAGCGATTATTTTAATATTTTATACCATGAACATATTAATATATAAATACCCGGCAGTCGTATTATAAGTACACAGGGTGTGTCAAAAAAAAACGTAACCTCGGAATTTCCTAAGAAATACACTTTGCAATTCTTAAGCATAAAAGATTTTAGGTCCCTGGGAATTGTACTTGTAAAATAACAACGTATTGGGCTATTACATTTAAAAACCAACCCCCCCTGTTGAGGACCTCTGCTTCTGGGGATTTTACCCCTCTGGAATGCAAAAAAATCTGTGTAATTGACCCTTCTGGAAGAGACTTGAACCCCCTCTGGAAGTGCATTTTAGCCCATCTGGAAAGAGCATTCCCCCCCCCCATTTTTCCCAAATACCCCTCTGGAAAAAATGGCTGATTTCCCCCTTGGAAAATGAGGTCCTCGACAGGGGGGGTACGGATATTAAATGTAATAGCCCATTAGGCCTATTAAAATAATATTTCTGTTTTTCATCATTTGTTTGGAATAGAATTGGGGCGGGCGGGCGGATTTTTTTTGTTTTTATACCCCAGTAATTGGCGGAATAATATTTTAAAAAATATTTTGGGGGCGGCCAAATTTTCAGGGGCAGGTGGCGATGAAAAACAGAAATTTTTTTTTAATAGGCCTTAAGTGTCATTAAACAAATGCATAAATTTTGTTTCATGCACTCGCATGTGCAGTAATTTTGACAGTTGTGCTATCTTAAAGGGGAAGTCAAGTCCGTTCTGCGCATTGGTTCTGCGCATAAAAATGTGAGGGCCCTCTGATGTAAACATTGCCCAAATTTCGAATTTTCCTGAACATAAACTCTATTTCATATTCATTTAGAAGCATAGCGAACCAAACTAGTGTTAGATATTTAGACAGTACATCTTATTTTAAAAAATACAGCAGTTCAAAATGTAAACAAACCGTTTGTTTACATTACGGACTTGACCTCCCCTTTAAATTTCCAGGCACCTAAAATCTTTTGTCCTTACAAGTCAAACAATGATTTCTTGGGAAATTCTGAGGTTGCAGGGGTTTTTTTTATACACCCTGTACAACTAATAAATATTATTTGAACACCAATATAAATCCAGGTTGATACAGATAATGCTCTGTGGAAAAGCGTGCAGGCAAAAAGTTGCCATAGTACATGTGATATTTAGTTAAAAGTCATGTCATGTAACAAAATTTATGCACTTTGGAAAGTTGGTTTGAAAATCTCTAAATCACAGGATTTACATTGGTTTTATATTTATAAAGCTAGTGCACATTATCAAACTTAATCTGTCAAAGTCTTTGATCAAATACTTGAAAGTTGTTTAGACTTTCAAATACTTTGACCAAAGTATATTTTGATCACAGTCAGTATTTGAGTTAGATAGTGTACACTACTCTGTATTCTGGCCGGTTATTGGTAAAATAATATCAAAATATTTTTCCTTTATTTCTTTCAAACATCATATTCTGGGTAGGAAGCTTGGTCCTCCATTTTAATCATCTGCCATTCCTCCCTGGTGATGGTGCTGGGAAACTTCTTCAGCTTCCATTGGTAGAAGCTTCCCCAGAAATCCTTAAGTTTCTTTGCTTCTGCAGTTGTTTTCTCTCGTATGAACTTGCGCTACAGTGGAAGATTAGAAATAAACAAAGGTAACCTACATTTACTTTTAGTTCCTCAAATTCCTCAAACCATTCCTCAAATTCAAAGTCTCGGTACTCACTGCCAACACAATTTCCTTGTTTAGAGCTGATGTTGCAACCACATTGTATTTTTGGCCAATAAGTGTCAACACCTTGAGTGTCAAAGTCCTGGACGACATGTTGGCCATTGCTCCATAACCAGTAATTCCCAGAAGCTAGAATGACAAAATCATATTTTATAATTGAGGTTAGTATTTTGTAAAATCTAGCAAATTCATTTGTCCAATTGGCTCAACCTTTATGATTTCTCATGGAATGACAATATTTAAAAAATCTAACTTTCTTTTTATAGTTGTAAAAATTGTTGCAGTACCCTTCGACGCTCTTCACTTCTCCAATAAGACATCTTAGCGGATTCGTATTTTGAGTAGCGAAGTATCAGTTCCACCACCGTCATGCCTGTTGCTGAGTCCTCAAACTCTTCTTCCAATAGTCTCTATTGTAAGCAATGGTAAGGTAATTTACTGTGCAACTGTACTATTTATATTGTGTTTCTTTAAAGTAATGCAATTTAATTACCATTGGTATTGCCAAAACCTATGCACTACAAAATAAATTTTTATAATGCACATCCAGAAACGCCACAGACTTGATGCAAGTTTGTTATCAAGTTGCAGCAAGCCTGTTGGATTCATCAAGTTGCATACAGATGTGAAAAACAGACTTGATGCAACTTGATATTTGCAGACTTGCTTCAAGTTGTTGAAACAACTTGCATCAAGCTTGGGGATAAAAAGTCTTGGAAACTTGCATCAAACCTGTTGACCACTTGCAGCAGACTTGTTATTATCAAGCCGGAGCAAGCAACGCAAACGCATTCTGATATCGACTTGATAGCAAGCTGCAACAAGCCTGCAGCAGACTTGCTGCAACTCGTGCGTTGCTGGCTGTGTATATAACAAATCTCACTTTTTTTTCAGCATCCTCTGTGGGAAATCGTCCATGTGAACAGTAAAATTGTCCAATGATATTGTTGACATTGTCCTTGAATCAAAAGTACAAAGTGTTATTGAAAAGGACTTTCTAATGCCAGAGCAGTAGAGAATGTTATATAATTATTTTTAACATACTTTATGTGTTGAACTTACAGTATGACAGCATTTAGGTCAAAATACTCTAAATCGCTGTTCCTTTTCATGGCCTTAATCAGGTTGAGCAGTTCGTCTTGTTTCTCTGCCATTCCTTTCATTTGCTTGCGAAGCGAATGGACTTCACTCCGTAAGCTTGATAGCTCATTTTGTACTGTTATTAAAAGACAGAAAATGTTCACTGTATCAATGTTAACCCAATGAATTCAAGGTGCAATGCAGGGATGGATCTAGCATGATCTGGTAGGGTGGGGGTGCTCAGACAACTTTTTAGGGAAAAATTTTTTTTCTACGAGTACGTGGCATTATCTTTCCAGTGACTTTACCCATCCATTAACATGCTTAATACTACTGCAAAGTCTTGCTTGGCTACAGTATTTGAATTGTAATTGTTGTTCACAGTTTGCTTATCATCATGTTATGACTAAATTACTGAATCTCATTTTGTCTCCGGATAATTTTTGCTTTATCATGAACAATGGCACCCCAAGGCCAGGGCTAGGCGGGGTGCACACCCCTCAGTAAATCCATCCCTGGTGCAATGTACTCTATTTCCTTGTTTTGCTATGTTTATGCCAACAGATTTTAATTATTAATAAGAGCACAGTGTATATTGGTTAATAACAGCTTGTTTAGACTAACACCCTATTAAAGGAAAACTCCTATTAAAGGGAAAACCCCTAAAATAAAGAGCTGTGAATTAAAACACTATAAATTAAAACAGTACAATTTTAAATATTGTACTTTAGCACAAGAAAATGTTTATTTAACAATTCAAAGTATATTATATACCATCATTATTGCCAGCATTGCTTGTAGTTGATTCATTTCCCTGCGTATCTGAGCGAGTATAAATATTGGAAAAATTAATTATATTCAGTGTAAAAACGTTTCGTGTGTACTCGTGAAGTTTCGTATGTATTAAATAGCTCAAACTTACCTTCAATCCTTGCCGTTTCGACGGGTAATGCAGCGTGTATGACAGTTGTACTGTTAAGGCTTCTTGGCCGACCTGCAAGGCGAAAACAAATTGAAAAATGTGTAATGTATTTTCGCAATAAGTTAAAGAACTACACCACAAACCTGTACTAGACACAGCTGCATTTTCCGTGCATTCATGGCGTCTCTTTCGTCTTAATCTGTCTGTTAATTAATTTTTTAACATTTTAAACGACTAGCATTAGTTAACCGAAAAAACAACTTAATTTGCTTTGATATGGAAATTAATATAAATTGATTTAGTATTGCAAATAGCCATGCAATAGACTTATACCTTCGTTAAAAATGGTAGGAGACATTTGCGACTCAGAATATTCTGGAGAGTTTGGATATCCAAATAGACTGAAACAAAACAAATTTAAAAAAAATAATTGTACGATATTAATATATACAAACTTTCAAAAAACACAATGCGAAATTTTAGACTCACTCGTCCACCGCATTCAGTGCGTTTAATGTTCCCTCCTGTCGTTGTTGTCCAGTTGAAGAGCACGTTGAACGAAAAACTGAACCACGCTGCATTTTCATTTTAAGAAATCACCTTTAACTTTAAAATCACAGCGAAAAAATCCAAAAAAAACCTGTGGCGGGACGACGCGGGAGCAAAAAAAAACTTGCGACAGGAAATCGTCTTGTTTATTTTTTTAACCAATCAGAATTCAAAGATAAGTAAACCCAATCCTTATTAGGTAACGATGTCCTAATTTGGTGCCTAATTGCGTGGCTTTAAATGTGGAGGTAAATACAAAAAACTTTTGCCCCAAATCTGCCCAAATACTTCAGACGAAAACAGAGGCAAAATGAAGCGAACGCGAAATTTTGTACAATGTTGTACTTGCTGTAAGATACAGTTTGAATCAAATGCCAGTTTTACAAGGCATTGCAATACAAAAAGCCACAAACATAAACAACTCGGATTCCAAAACGCAATGGTCATGGCTATGGATGAAGACCGGGAGGATAGCATGATGATATCGCGCGCTGCAGAACCACCATACATACCACCACCTGACTTTTTCAACAGAGATATTCTTGATGAAGATCAGGAGTCGGTAATCGGGGAAGAAATGGAAACCATTTCTGATGAATTGGCAGAAGACGGCGAAGGCCCAACAGCACAAGCTGAACAAACAGCGCAGCCGAACAATTTCTTTCCGTTTCCCGACGAGAAATTTTTCTTGCTATATTGCTATGCGCATGGTATAATGAGACCAAAGGTATTGTGTAACTGCAATTTATAATTATTTTTGTATCGCTGCAGAACTGTGTCAAAGTATAATTTAATTTATCTAAAAACTCTGATATTAACATCTAAAAATTTCACAGACCTGTTGCAAGTTGTCAACAAGTTGCAACAAGCCTGCAACACACTTGTGCTCACGCTGCTGCGTACACGTCAGTGTTGGTGTTGCTGTGCGGGCTGAACACCAGGGCAAAGATTAGTGAGCTTACGCCTGGTTCACATATGCCTGCGACTGTATCATTATGCCTCTATTTGCCGCCGAAATACCGGCAAAGTTGAACTCAAGTCAACTTTCCCGGTCTACCGCCGATGTAACCGAGGCACTGGCGGCAATCGGCGAACAAATGTTCACATAATTAACGTTTTAAAGCTAGCACCGGTATCGTCGCCGGTACGTAACAGGCATATATGTGAACCAAGCTTTAAGCAAGTGACGTTTTTGGTAAAAAACGTCAATTTTACTTCCGATCGACGTCCGTGTTGTCAAAAACGTCACTTGCTTATGTCTCAATCATTCCAAGGGTGCCCAACACCCCCCCGGGCGTTTGTCGGGCTTTTGTCATTTTGGCGAAAAAACGTTGCAAATGCCCCAGTATGGGGTCCAAATAATGCAACAAAATCCCCACCCTTGGGGACTTATATTGACGCAAATGCCCCACCCTTGGGGGACAAAATATAAGTTTTCTGAGGATTTCTGATCCAAAAAATCGAATCCAAGCTCTATCACGTATCAATTTATCTGTATTTAAAATCGATTCTATAGGCATTTCGTTTTAAAACGTTTTTAATTAAAATACTGAAGTCTCAAAACTTTATATAGCAATATCAAACTGCAGAAGTAAGTCAATGTATCAACAGGATGGACAAGAAAAAAGTCTTGTGTTATTCCGCCATGATTAATTTGCGATACGCACGCTGGTGTAAACATGCGTACTAAAGTACGGCTAAATGGCGAAACAAGCGATAAATATTCGACCTTTTTAGCCTCGAGCAAATTCCCAACCCCGGGGCTAACCTGCAGAAAGCAAATGCCCGACCCTTGGAACAAGTACAGTTGAGAATGCCCGACAAACGCCCGGGGGGGGTGTTGGGCACCCGTGGAATTGATTGAGACATTAAGCTCACTAGTACTTAATCTTTGACCAGGGGCCGGTTATTCAAAGGCGTGGGTTAAAATTTAACCTGCTGTTTTAGTTTACGTATTTATACGCATCTGTTTATTTCAAAACTTCAGAGAAGTAAACCACTATCGATCCAGACAAGATCTCTGAACATTTCCAAATTTATAACCAAGCTATCAAGGAGTTTGGTTTGAATTTTAAGTTAACCTAGGGCAAGGGTTAAGCTAATCCAGCTTTGAACAACTGGCCCCAGGGAAGTTAGCCAGCCTGGTTTTGGTTTCGCTTGAAAAATGCTGCACATAAGATATCGAAAATATCAAAATCAATTTCCATTCACTTTTTTCAAACGGATCAAACAAGACGCATGCAAGTCATCGCAAGTTTTTGAATATTCTGAATATTCTGAACTACATGTAGAAAAAAATCAATTTGTTGAAAACATACAGGGTAAAACATGCATAGTTACTGTAATACTTGCAATTACCTACGTGTTGTTTGATCCTGGCTTTACATATTTGCTGAACCTTATTTAATTTAATTATATTCATCAAATCATGTATTTTAAGTCTCGTGTCGACCTCGAGTTTTTATGGATGATGCTAAGTAGATTTGGAGCAAATCCACCATCTCTTGATTCGGTTTTGTCATACAAACTGGAAGGATTGGACGATATGCTGCAATTGAAAAAGGTGATTCTGTAATGATAATTACAATACATATTCATGAAAAATTTGGAAATTGGCATTGTTTATCGAACATCATATTGTGTTAGATGCATCAGAAACGATCAATCGTATGAAAGAGCATCACTTCTGAATAGACTCTCGATAATAACGTCACGCATGATTTTTTGACCCGGGAGCCCAACATCGTACTCAGCTGGATGTCTCCAGGGTCTGAGGACGGAGAAATGACTCTGGGTACGAGGTTGCCAGTAGCCTGGTTCTCATGAATCGTGAACCAATAACGTTCGGCTTAGTGGCATGGGTCTGGAAAAATATGAACTTTCCACAACGGAATTTGCGCGACGTTTGAAGCATGCCTAAATATAGCTATCGTTTTATTATGTTATCTGAATATAATTCTTAAATCTACATTCAAATAGAGTTATGGGAATGATCATCCATTTTACTGGATAGCACCATCGGACCTGATAAAAATGCAGTTAGCTACGCCATTAATCGCCCAAAAACTTGCGAGATACCCTGAGAGAACGCAACACATCATAGAAGAAATGTGCCAGGTAATGTGTCCCTGCCTAACATTTGTTAGAATATACTATACCGGGCTGAGACTGCTATATTAAGGTGTGTTTACACTGGCGATTTTTGGCGTATGTGATCCAGTGCATTATATACACGAGTGGATATCATTTGACTCGTTTCTGTACATTTGTGCTGCAAATACTCATTTGCATCATAGTTAATAGAAACATACGTCAGGAGGAGAAAATCGCAGTCAAAAATCGCCTGTGTAAATCGACCTTTCAAAATGGGGAACTTAATCTTAAAAACCTCCATTCACCTATTTCATACATTCACAGGGTAGAACGTGGCACATCAGTGAACAGTTCCACACCACTTCTGCAACTGTGAATAACATCACAGTTTATATTGGAGATGTTGTCCAGTACAAGTCGAGAGAACATGGCATTTCTTACGGCAAAATACAAAATTTTTTTTCGAAGGTATTAAAAGTATTCGAGTAAACCCGGTTTCTGAAGCCGATTGACAGGGTGCGATAATTCGCGTACCAACGTAACGAAGGTACGCCAAATTTATGGTCTGGTACTTCTTTGTTTTTAGTTCAGTACCACGTAGGTACGCAGAAATTTGCCTTTTGAAGCACTAAATAATACGTAAGTATAAAATGCATGGCACGGAATACCAGTCAGGTACGGCTAAAAATATTGAATTATCGCACCCTGGCAGATTGCAATGATAATTTTTCTAAGGGTTTATTACAGTGCAGTATGTATCATTTACAGAAAGTGGACAACTGTTTGAAATTCATGTGTGATGTTATAAAAGTACATACCTTTCCTACACGTCCAGAATCATGGGTTATCACTGATGAAATAGAAGAGATAGAACTAAACTGCATTGGCGATATCATGTCAGTAGCATTAACATTCAAAGAAACAAATGGCCAAATAGTCCCTTTGACTCAAAAGGTACAGTATTTGTCTATTTCCTGCTGCTTGTACATTGTTATAACATATTAATCCGTATGCATATAGTATGTAATTATTTTCCTGCCGTTCTATCTGTTACACTCTAACGAATATTTTCTCACAGTTCTGACTGTTCGTCCTGACCATGAAAACATTTTATTTTTCAGGAAATTACTATGCACCAAAATCCTCATCCAACAAAACGTTTGGCTGGCGACAAAGAGACGCTAACTCTTCCGATCGTGATATTTTCAGATGAAACAAGTGGCAACAGATCAAAGAAATGGAACCGACTGGAGACGTACTCGTTTTTTCTCGCAGGCCTGCCAAGAAAAGATGTCACCAAATTTAGCAATATAAATTTTATATGTGCGTCTAATTTAGTGGATTCAATCACGATGGGGAAAGTAATTGCAACCGATCTAGCAAGTATGTAGAAAATTTATACGAATATTGATACTCATTTGATGGCCTTCAATTACGCTATATTATTATTGCCTATTCACGTGACAGGATTTTCCCGTATTGGCAACCGGCAATACGAAATTATTATTGGCCTGTGAGGAAAACAATAGCACAAATTTTATAATTGATTTAATTGCAAACAGAAGCAAGAAATTAGGCATACAGCCACATAATAAACCTCACTATCTTCCACTATTCAGTCAATACAGCAAGACCTCAGTTTGAAAATTTAACGTATACAGACTTTACTTCCAGTTAGTAAGATATTATGATTTTGCTTTATACAGAACTTGAAGAAGGCATTGTAATGTATGACGCACTCACCAAAAAAGACGTTTTCGTCCAATGTCCTATTCTCTGCGTTGTATGCGATAACCCGAGAGCTTCAGAGATTACTCATCACCTGGGAAGTTCTGCAATCCATTTCTGTAGAACATGTGACGTAGGTTTTCTAGATTTAATAATCAGTTAATTAGATAACGCGGATCAATTTTTGACACTTTAAGCTTAAATTCTGAATAAACTTTAACTTTTTGTCTAATAGGCAACAAAGGAAAATGCTATAGAAATAGGCGACATAAGGACTGACGAAGGAACAAGAACTACAGTCTCCACGATAATTAATGCACGGTAACTGTTAGTTTTCAAAGTAAGATAGTTTTACAAGTTTATGTACGTAAGATGCAATTGTGTTACATACGTTTTTTTACACATATACATGTAGATCAGAAAGGCAAAAGAAACTGCTGCGGAAAGAAACTGGTGTAACTGAACGTGGTGGTCAATTTGATGAACTCAAAACATTCAGTGCAATTGAGTAAGTTATGTTAATATATAATAGGGAGTTTACGATCTATGACGCCACCGGCTCGATAACGTGCTTTCAAAACAAATAAATTCGGTGTTTCCACAAAGAATAGTATTATGTGTTTTATCGCCATGTAAACCTAGTTGTTGGTTCTTGGAGAAACTTTAATAGGCGTTTATCAATAACCAGAATTTAATTATGAAATGTGAGTGTGGGCCACCTAATTTCAACTTTGTCCCTACACCTCGCCAATCATCAATCCTATTCGTTTACATTTCCCCTTGTTTGCATTTTAACTCCCCTGTGGGCTCGTTAAAAACATGAATAAAATAAAACACGTGTAAAAGGATACTGGTTAGGAGGGGGCATCCTGTCTCAAAAATAGTTAAAATTTTTGGAATTTCTCACCCACTGCCCTCTTCCCTTAACAAATGACCGGTCCCTTTTAATGTCATTTTCTCTGTTTTATGCATGTTTGTATGCTAATTTGTTAACAAAAATATTTACACAATCTTTTTCTAACAACTGTGTTCACATTTAAGTTGTGATGTACTTTAATTTAATTTTACCATTACATGAATATTAAACAGTATTAACTATTACTTACATCTGAGTGTTTTTATTTATTTAGCTTTGCCAACTAGGGCAGGGTCACCACAACAGCGTATGCCAATTACTGTGGGCCCTTTTTACCCAACCCACCCTGTCAACTTTCCCTGTGGGAGGAAACCTGAGTACCCGGGGAAAACCCACGGCTTTCGGCAGAGCGTTGATTTTAACTCTTTTTACGTGGGGACTGGGTTCGAGTCGCACTGAGAAGGTACTTAGTGAGACTCGAACCTGCAGCCTCAGAGGTGAAAGGCAAATGCGCTAACCACTTGGCCACCGAAGCCCCTAAATGTGTTTACCTATTCATTAAACAATTTTCAATTTTCTTTTTTTAGGCAAACACCTGTTGAAATACTGCACACAATATTACTTGGCGCTGAGAAATACCTCTTGGCAAAAACAATGAAAGGCCTTTCACCTGCAGACAAGAAAAAAGTTAAAGCCAGAATTGAAGTATTTGATTTCTCTGCATTCCCTGGAAAAGTGGCTAGCAGCATTACAACAATGTATGGATCATATGTTGGACGTGATTTTAAGCTATGGGCACAAATAGCTGTGTTCATACTTATGGATATAGTCACAGAAGAGGAACTACAAGTGTGGAGAAATCTCAGTGAAGTATGACATTATTTAACCCATTAAGCGCCAGTGCTCTCCCCTTGATGAGTAAAATCGTCTGGCGTTAGACAGAGTAAAATAATAAATAGGGCGCATCGGGCACAATGCGACTTAATGGGTTAAATAACGTTTTGACGCGTGCAACATAAAGTTTTCACGTAATAGATGAACAACGAGAGCGAGTGTTTCACCGGGATATCCAAACACGAGAAAACAATGTAGGAGAACACGAGCGCGAGTGTCTTCGTACATTGTTTTCGAGTGTTTGGATATCCCGGTGAGACACGAGCTCGAGTTGTTTATATGGCTTCTCAAATGAATCGAGACGTAACGGAATGTTTTTGTTTTCTGATTTGAATAGAATTCTTAACCAAGCATAACGTAATTAGGAATTCTATTCAAGTAATTTTGCATGCGTAATTAAGATATTTGATGAAAACACTAGTGACTTTCATCAAGTATCCAAATGGCATCTTGTGATCAAATAGGTGATTATCATTGGCTAATTTACTCATGAATTATTAATGAATTTGAGAATGATATTTTTATGTTAGCTAGCATTTTTCTTTGCAATAATGCTAATTTTATATAAATATGGACAATGAGCTAAGTAAGATAACACAATTTTGAACATCACTGGAAAACCGTAGCTGTTACGATATGAGCTTTAAATAGACCTCTACGGTAATTACGTCACGACTAACACTGTTTTCAACTTACGACCACTTTTAATGAAATGGATTTTAAATTTGTTTCTTACGGGCTATGGTCAGAAGAGCAGAACATCCTTTGTCAACACATGCATCAAAAAGAATTTTTGATTTTGACCAATAAATGTGGAAATAAGCTTAAACACGAAAACGAGGCTAAGGGGCCAAGAGGTGGCTTGGCCCCTCAGCCTCGTTTTCATGTTTATGCTTATTTCCACGTTTAATGGTCAAAGTCCAAAATTCTTTTTGATGCATGTGTTGACAAAGGATGTTCTGCTTCTCTGACCATAGCCCGTGAGAAACAAACTTGAAATATATTCCATTTAAGGCGGTCCTAGTTGAAAACAGTGTTAGTGGTGACGTAATTACCGGAAATATCTATTGGAAGTTGTAGGGTTTCCAGTTTTAAAATTTCGCATTGCTGAGTTTAGTGAATTTATACGCTATGCCTATGAAATATGGTATTTTTTGCCCATCTATTTATAGTTTCTTATAATGTGCAATATCAATTCCTGTAACCTGGAAAATACTGACATTAGCTTCAAGCAATTTTGTGTTTATTAATATTATCATCATTATTCCCTATTTGACAGGTGTTTTCTATTTCATATGCATCACATGTTGACACTCGGGATTATGGAAAGATCATGGCCATAATATCTAGTCTATTGGACAGTATGGAAGAAGTGCACCCAGATATTATGAGGAAGCCAAAACTACATACCTTGGTTCACTTGATGGAAGATATGTCTAACTTTGGTCCTGCTGTTGGCTTTGCCACTGAAAGGTTTGATATATAAACACTAAAAAATACACACAAACATAATTCGGTTAGTTTCACTTGCATGTTTTGTGATGTGCTAAATCTAACAGACTTTTCGTCCATCTTGCAAAGTTGTCCATTCTTATTTACACAGTAACTTTTTCAACCAATTAAACCACAATGCTCTGCCAACTGCCTGATATCTGCCTCCTTTAGAACTGTCTTTTAATTAAATTATACTCCAACTAAAAACAGAATATTTTATATGCTGAAGGGATAGTTAATGGGGTAAAATGTTGTTAAAACAACATTGCCAGTTATGCCGGGACCATTAGCAACATTTTTTGGTTCTATTCCTAAAACCAATGTGACACATATATTTTTCTCTTTTCATTATAGATTTGAGTCATTCAATTCAGTCATAAGGCAAATGAACCTTTCAACCAATAGACAGGCATGTAGCAGGGACATTGGCAAACTGTATGCAAAACATCAAATCCTGAAGTATGTAATCAACGGTGGTAGTTGGGGAGATAATCACAGGTACTGTAAAGTTAGCATGTTAAAGCTTCTACACTTTCATTGCTCACAATTAATATACAGCTATTTCAATTAACCCATTGAGTCGTATTGCGCCCCAATGCACCCTACTTTATTATTTTACTCTAATGCCAGACGATTTTACTCGTGAAGAAGAGAGAGCTGGCGCTTAATGGGTTAAGGTTGTCCACGAGCAAAGCAGAAAAGTATACAAGCACAGTCGTATACAAGTACTTTGAAAATTCTTTATTTTGTTGTCAATTCCCAGCAGCCTTTCATGCTTGTATTCAACATTACCACTTTGCTCGTGAAAACCTTAATTGAAATAGATGTATACCATGAGGCCACATTTTACCTTTTAGGAAATGTGCATCATCGCAATTACAATGCCTTGCTAAAAATGCCAAGTTACTCAAGTTCATGTACCAAGACAACGTCCGGGAACAATCTGAAAAGGAGATTTATCAGCCAGGTTCTCTCAGACTAGTAAGTATGACATTCAACAAAGTGATAAAGATCTATTATAATCATAGTAACCTACATCATTCACTATAAATGATATAATAAACAATGCATAAGCATATAAAATCTTATAAAGCATGCATATAAAATCTGATAAGCATATAAAGTCTAAATAAGCAAATAAAATATCTTTATTAACAGGGGCAGTATAAAAAAGGCCACCTACAAAAGTTTGATGTTGGTTCTTGTTTGAATACCTCAGCCATTGAGAATGACATGAAAAGCGTTGCTCGATCCAGCAAGTGTAACTACTTCAAGGGTTGCATCTCAAAGCAACATGAATTAGTGCGGATGGGACAAGCTATAACATACAAAGATGGAGAGGGGCAGGTAAAAATTGGCATCTAAGCTGAAATAATATTAATAATGTAAACTTGTCACCAACCTGCATGTAATATTTGTTGTTCTTTTTTTCTCTCAATTTACACTTTTCCTGTCCTTCCGCATTAAGGATTGTTTTGGTGAGTTTGACGGTGCAGTAAAACTACTTAACCCTAGCAGTGAAACGAGCCATGTCAACTGGATTCAAGTAAAGCAATATGCCTGTCATGAGGATGAAAATGGTCAGGTGCAGAGTGGACGGTTTGACTCGCCATTGCTAAAGAAAACAGACAACATAGTCATCATCAAGTCTTCGGAAGTATGCCACAAAGTGAATATTGTCCATAACTGTATTAATGGGCATTGTAAATTTGAAGATGCCCATCACACCTTTGTTGAGGAACGTGAAGGAGTTGTACGAGATGCACTGATTTACAAGCATGACTTTGCCAACAACACATACCTTCTCAACAGGTTTTACCTTGGTAATGATTTTGAAGCTGTATTACAAACCTTTTGATAAACGAGTCGTAAATATACATTTGATTGCAAGACATGCTCTACACAATGCCAGGGACCATATAAAATTGTGTATAAACATGGCTGTGTATTATAAACATGTGCTTTGTCTTGATTAGATCATATTTCAACAAACAATATAAAATATTAATAATATTATTTGAACATTTAAGATATATGTTGGAGGTATTATAAAGCACGAGGCTGTAAAATCCGAGAATTTCACGAGGATGTAAAAGATAAAACAAATGTTTCTCGACATTTCGAGCTAAAGGGTTTGTTTTATCTTCTACAGAATTAATACAGCCTCATGAAGTCAACTGTTCGTATTTTACAAAACCCAAGGCCTACGCTAACCCTTATATTGTTAGAGGTATTAACCTTTTCCAGTTTTCCTTTTTCCATATAAATGCCCACTTGATTTTCATTTCATTTGCACTGTAGCGTGCGTCGTTCTTGTAAATTATCTTCCAACACGAAGCATGAGTTTTACTATACATACAAGTAAATGTTTACCGACATTTAATATTCGACAAATCTGTAAATTTGAGTATATACGATGGATTGTATCGACCTTATGTTGCACTTTAGACGAGATATTGATTTCTTGTCTGCTTTCACCGACAAATAATAAGATTTTGCCAGATAAAATATAAATTTCTAACCTTGCTTTGCATTGTATTTTTCCACTGATTTTGTGATATTCACCATTGCGCGAAAACACGCGAGATAACGCGTGTTTCGTGTTGCCATGCCAACTGCAGACTTGCTACGACTTGTTCGCGACAACTTGCATCAAGTCTGTTGACGACAACTTGCATCAAGTTTGCTCGCGACAACTTGCATCAAGTCTGTTGACGACAACTTGCATCAAGTCTGTTGACAACAACTTGCATCAAGTCTGTTGACAACAACTTGCATCAAGTCTGTTCGTGACAACTTGCATCAAGTCTGTTCGTGACAACTTGCATCAAGTCTGTTCGTGACAACTTGCATCAAGTCTGTTCGTGACAACTTGCATCAAGTTTGTTGACGACAACTTGCATCAAGTCTGTTGATGACAACTTGCAACAAGCTTGTTGACAACTTGGAACAGACTTGTTGTCAACAAGCTGTTGCAAGCCATGCGAACGCATCCTGATATCGGCTTGTTGATAACAAGTCTGTTCCAAGTTGTCAACAAGCTTGTTGCAACTTGCGCGTTTCTGGCTGTGTATACGAGTTCGCACTAGTTTGGTCCTCTTTTTTGATGGACGATCCACTGAGGCATTTTAAAATGAAGCCATAGTTCGCAAGGGTTTTCTTCTGCCAAATTTGCATTATCTATGAAGATATATTGATATACGCATGTGACGCGGGGTCTAAGTTAAATTACCCCGCGGCTGAGTAAAAACTATAGGTGGGAAAATTACTCGCTACTTTTTTCTCCTACACCATATAATTGGGATTTAATTAATTAACTCTTCAGGTGGAGTTACAATAATTACTTAACAAATTAACAGTGCATAACCGGGAACGTTTTATATTTTATAACTATTCAATTACTTGGAAATGGATATTGCTTTCTTGGAAGAAGATCTCTACTTTTGTTCTCTTATCAGCATGATTGCATAAAATATTTGCATGCATGCGGCGAGAAGCTTACTAACAATTGCTTGATCATACGTTTTGCTCCTACCTTCATATTGGAATAAATTGAACAAAATTCTAAAGACGAAAAATTTATGGGAAGTACGGAAACAGTATCGCATAAACCGAATGATATATTACAGATTTTTGCTTTATCATTTCGTCGAGCAAAAACGTTTGTTTGTTCCCGCTGGGGAAAATATGCTTGGAATTTTTTTGTTTTAGATGCATGTTAACTTCAATCACTTACAGCATGCATGCAACGGCAATAATGAAACGGTGCCTGCCTTGTTGAATATCAGGCCAGCCAGGGGTTTTGAGTATACGGGTATCTTGGGCATTTTTTTCAAGGGTGGGTTGTCTACAAAATTTTTGTATAGTTTGATATAGCTACATCTACTTCAAAAATATGTAGTCGATCAGCTACAACTACTGTAACCTGAAGTTCAGGCCCTAATTTGAAATAGGGCCTGACACAAAACCTGTCTAGACCGTGAGACGCCCACATGTTATTTTTAGACACACATGCAATATGATTGACAAGTGTTGTAGATTTCGTTACACAAAAAAATTATATTCTCATGAACATGTCCGCAGAGCATTTTGCTTTTTAATTAAACTTAAAAATTCAAGGTACTTTTATATAATTAAGAGTCAGTTTCTCTATTTAACCGAACAGGCGAACAGCAAACAAAGATTTAATTAGTCAGTTCTGTGCACGGCTTGACTGCCAAGCTTTCTCAAGGTCTCAACTTGCTGGACGCGGATATACTCTAACGACTAACGGGCTAATAACAGCAACAATTAAATTCTCAATCATACCACGAAGAAGGCGATGTAGCTCAGAAAACAACGCCGGTAGGACCTGATATTAAAAATAAGACTTTTGCCGGCGAAGCAAGTTGGCAGAACATCTTGGCTGTCAACAACAAGCTTTCGAATACAGGACTAGTTTGGCTGTTCTTTCAGCGTCGTGTATGTCCAAAATTCGTCAAAGATTTTGATGAAGCCCTTTCAAAATACTGTTTGTTTGATTTATTTTCTTCCATAAAGCATAAAAGGAAAGAAATTCGAAGAAATCGATAATGGAATTTGTTACGTGCGTTTGACCTTTATATTAATTCTCGCCTTGACCGAGCTATTTTTAAAACTGTTGTTTATGTGAACTTGCAACCAATCAAAATCCTTCATGATGCTGATCAACCAATCAGATTTCCCGTCCACCAGGTGGACGGGAATCCCACACTTTAGATAGGTTTTGTGTCAGGCCCTATTCTGTGATAGGGCCTGAACTTCAGGTTACAACTACTGCTACTTTTGAACAAAAATAGTTCGCTACTGACTACAGCTACTGTTCAAAAAAATGTAGCGAACTATTTCGCTATTTCGCTACGCAATATTTTTAGTTTTACTTGGAGCATCTACTATAGCTCGAGTTTTAATGTAACCTATAACAATCGACTAATTACGAGTTAATAAGACTGAATAAGTGAATAAGTGAATAAGTACTTGCACAGTTGCACGGCATATTTTATTCGTGAAAATTAAGTATTGATTTTAACACTCCTGCTGGTTTATTAAACAGTACGTTAGTTAATTGTCTCGTATAATGTTATACTGTAGATTTCACCGTGTTTAAATAAAGTTTCGATTGACTGATTGATTAATTGGTACAGCATGAAAAAGCCCATGCGCAATCGACACTTTCGAAATTCTCAAAATTAAGAAACAACTAAATATTTTCAATTGGGTTTTCTAGTAATAATAAAATAAACGCAATACCGAAAGAAGTGTGTTTGGTTATCGAATCATATCATGATCAATAAAAACACAACAAAACAAGTTACGATTAGTAAATCTTTCAATCCTCTACCCCTGAACTCTGGCTTAGGTCGCATATTTAGTAACCTACTAAAATGTGCTTACATTGATCACAAAATGATGACCTTGGTTGTTTACCATTTACATGGAAAGCCCATCTGGTTTGAAATTGTGCTAATGGTAAGCAAAATTTCGGATAGAAAATCCCATTTGGATTATGCGCTTCCATTTAGAGTGACTGACCGGAAGGCACTGAAGGATTGTTTACCATTTACATGGAAACCCATCCGTTTTGAATTAAATCGCGAAAAGCCTGCAACTGGTGAAAAATAAAAAAGAATGTAAATGGAACAAAATTCACTGGTTGAAACGTTCCAATAAGTAAGAGAGGACAACCTTTTCAAACAAATCGTTCATATTCCGGAAAAGTTCCGGTTGGGCCGTCGAAATATGCTTGTTCCATTTACTTTCCGTATGGAATCACCGAAATTTCCATGTAAATGATAAATAACCCTTAAACACCTTATTCGTTTTACTTCATGCATTTTAAAAAAATGTCTTAATTGCACGAGAATATTACAATTGCCAAACATAATAGTTCTAATTTTTTAAATTACTGATTAGAAAATTGTGATCGCAAATTGTAATTCATTTACAAACTACAGTTTTATTTAATTCAGGATATTATAATCCACTACAGAATTACATGATCATAATGTAAATATCTACTGTTCTACTACTGATCTGAAAACTATCATATATTAGGCAAAATGTTAAATGTCCAAAATCTTAAATTCAATGAAGCAAATAAGCAAATAAAGATAATAATAACAAATAGGTTACTCAAACAAAGTCACTAGACACTACTCTGTTCGCTGCCTTCGTCGTCACCTTGTTCGATTTCTTGACCCTCTTGACTTTTACCGTTGTTGATGTTAATCAATTCTACAAAAATTGTGTTGTTTTCACGTTTATCGACTTTCAAGATATGTTCAAGTTTTTCCGTCGCCGTGCCATATTTACGCATGTCTTTTGCGGTGAATGGTGGTCGGCGAATATGGTGTCAAAAATAAAAGGTATCAAGACGCCCACAATAGCGTTGATTGCTTGTACACTTTCAGAAACGCCAGAATCCCGCGCTAGAATCATGACAGTGAACATCCCGAAAGCATATAAGCAAATCATGGCCGGAAATCGCGGACATTTGAGCCCGCGCTATGTCCTCAGCGGCGATTCAAACAATGTCCTCAGAATTCCTCAATACCTCCCGATATCCATTAGTGTCCTGTTCAAGCGTGCTATCAAAATGGCGACAGTTCAGAAGCGTGCTCGAACTGTCGATTACAGACAATTAAATTCTTTTTCTTCAGCTGTATTATTACCCTGATAGCAGAGCCTGATTTCCCCTCGCGTAGAAAATAAGGCTCTGCCGTTTTTTTGTTTAATTTCTGTCGAGCATGCTCTGTTTCCAATATTATGTCAAAACATGTCAAAGATCACCTGTATTTTTAGAATGACTGCTAAATTTAGAGAACCAATCACATGCAGTTATCGCCACATGTTGGGGGCGTGCAACTGCACGTGCTGTACAATTACGACAATATAAATACAAAAACATTTTCAAATCGATAGTTTTATCACTTGTCAGTTGTGAAATCAAACTATTACTATATTTTTACAGTTGCCAACTTGCTAGTTTATTTTATCCTACATTACTTTTCAGTATATTTAAGTTATTGTCAGCCGAATTTTGGTTATAAAGTATAAAGTTTTAAATTTTGTAAATATATAGCGGGCTCAAATTGTAGTCATCGGTTTACATACAAAACGAAGGCGCGCGTATTTAAAACCGGTTAGAACTGGTTTATTACCGGTTTACTTTGTCCAGAATTTTGGACAAACAAAAACACAAAAGCGGCAGAGCCTTATTTTCTACGCGAGGGAAAATCAGGCTCTGCTATCAGGGTACTGTATTATATGATACAGCCCGACGATCAAAAAAGAGTAAATTTTTTGAAGTGGAGCGGGTTATCACAAGGCGCAGGATTCGCTACGTATAAGTTGAAATTTGTCATTTTGTAGTTCATCGTTCACCTACATACTGTATATACAGTATAGATATATATTGATATGTAGAACTATAACTTATCCAAATGCTTACACTGTAAACTTATCCAAATGCCTCTCTCCTCCGCGGGGCCTCCTTAAGTATTTACAAATAACTTACTTGAAGTTTCCTGAATAAAAGTGAGCGCGCGCAGTGTGATGGGAAGATTGAAATGAAGTTGGGGAGGCTCTGCCAGATAATGCGACGAAGTATGATTTTTGAACCAAACTAGCTGTTTGACCTTTTTTAAGCTTGAAATCGACGGAAATGTGAAAGAAATTGAAATGAATCTTCATAATCTGAGTATCGAAGTTCAATAGAGTCATTTTTATAAAGAAATGTTGCAATTAAGAGAATATTTATAATCAGGTAGCTCTTATCCATTGATATTCGTTTGCAATTTCTCAATATTTTTTATGCAAATGGACAGAAGAAGATATTGATATTGAATTCACCCCAGAATACTCAAGTACGCCTGAAAATGAAAGTCGAAAACATGTTTTAACACCCCCGATGGTTGATCGAACTTCGCTACAAACGATTATATACGACGCCATATTGATTGCATTAACTCGCAGAGGCTTCCTTTATTTAGCTCTTCCCATCACTCCTTGCGCGCTCACTTTTCCCCCACTAGAAACTTCATGGAAGCCTCTGCGGAGGAGAGAGTCCAAATGCTTACACTGTACGGACCCATTGTATAGGATTATGAATACTTGATTAAATGGAAAGAATGGTCTCTAGACGCTTCATCATGGGAGCCTACAAATAACCTGACTACAGATTTGTTGAGGTTTGTTTCCAAAATTACATTTTATACTGTCTTTAGTCTTTATTAAAATTACTCATGCCTCATGGGAATACAGGGTTCACTTATAGGCATCTCTTTGCTAATTCCATATCCATATGTTAGTGAAAAGTTAATAATAAAATGGGGTAAGTGTAAAATTCACTGCGATGTGACACTAATATTTGATGGTTATTGTGGATGGAATTTGTTGAGCGGAAATTTATGTACATTTGTTAGACCTAACCAGGAACAGAAGCAAAAAGTTGCATTTTTCGCAACTGTTCCTGGTTGGGTCTATTATAAATGTATATAAATTTCCACTCAACAATTTCCATCTACAATAACCATCAAATATTATACATTCAAGTGAGATGCCACAAAAATCTTGATATTTACCCAGTGTGACATTAACGCTTGTATTATAAAAGCTCACTCACACTAACTCAATGAATGGAGGTCCAATCTGAGCTTCCCTTGACTGTCAATGCTGTTTTTGACTAGCTGGAGGGTTAGTGCCGTACCGTACTTTGTGACTACTAACCCTCCAGCTATTCAAAAATTTACACTTACTTGAAGCTCAGATTGAACCTCAACTCATCGATTGTTTTTAGAATACATGTGTACACCTGTTTGTTGGGTTTTTTGAGTATGTAACAGTAATTATATAATAATTGAGTCGGTTTTCATTGTTCTTTATAGGTATATAAATCCAATACAATCTAAAAGCATGGGGAGGGATTTGATATCTCCCCAGGAAAAACTGGGGTTAATGAATAGAATTGAATAATAGAAAATGCATCTAATTAAATATTCATGGTTTATATACACATATAGACCGGGGTTATATGTACAAAATACACATAATTCACAACAAAAATCCTTTGATTTATTAATTTCACACTAGCTCAACTACTTAACAACTGAAGTTCTTCTTTACAACAAACGTGCAATTAGAAAAAGAAACACCCACTTCTGACTTTTTGGCACTATTTGTTCCCACACTTTCATCACAATTTAATTTACGCACTTTTGTTAACGAGTCGCAATTATCATAAGTCTCTATTCTTTTTGGACTTAAGGCAAATTTTTCTCCACATTTCTCATCTGTCGTAAACGACTTTACATAATCGAAAGCTTTCGAGATCTCTATTTTACTCGAGGTACTAGGTCTTTGGTATGTTTGAAGTGACCGAGTATCCCTACGACCAGTCCGTTCCATAATAAACTTATCTGGAATGCCTTTCGATAATCCTCTCGTTGCTGTTGTGGCTCGAAGACTGTGGTTAGTGAAATTTCCTTTAATCCCAGCCTTTTCACAAACACGGCGGACAACTTGGCCCAATTTGTTATGCCCCACTGGGCTTGATGTATACCAAACTGTAAAAACATCAAATATATAACGAATTAGACAACAACTTTAATCAAATTAATAAACAAGTCACACAAAACTTATGACTGTTTTAAAAGAAACCTTGCTGCATGCTAACTAACCTGAGTATCAGGACTAGCTTTAAAATAGATATAAAACATGTTAGCTACGTACCTTCATCTGAAGAATTGTACTTTCGCTTTGGTGCCAGGTAAAACGATACCTTTTCTAACGCTCCTTTTGGACATTTTGACACGTATTTTTTGTACAGCTCCACAAGGCATCGTCCGGCCGGTGTCACAGTGATACGAACATCCCCGTGTTTTGTGTATCCCCACACTAATATCCCTAGGGATAAAAGTACCCCCGGTGGGGATACCTACAACACTAGAAGCGAAAGGATGCAATATTCAAAATATGAGCTCATTTATCTGTGCCTTTATTTTCCGGTATTAAGTATTTACATTTTTACAGTTATTAAATGCTGCAGTAAATGTGTATAATGTGATTGTACTTTTGTTGCAAGATAGCATGTTCGCGTCGCATAAATTGGTGTAGAACATAGTGTAGAATTACTCTTAACATTAACTCATATGGCTCCGTATTACTTGATTTCCGACGTATATGACAGGAAGTTTAAATATTACAGAACTCCGCGAGTATTTGCAGTAGAAATACGAAAGTACCACCAAAAAATCCGCTTGAAAAGTTCTATGAAATCGAACAATGTGAAATAGCCATAAATTATAATCTAGGCATACTTGAACAATGTAAACTAACCATACCATACTATATACAATATTAAAACTCGAAGAATGTAAACAGTGCATCACTAAGCCATACCTTTCGCCGAATATAACTTCGGCCCCTTTCAACATATCTTTTTGGTATTAGTCTTGTTCGGAACACAATCCAACACACTATTTAGAGTGTTATTTTCAAGCTTGTATGTACAGTTCTGCATGTTTTATTTCCCGCGAAATGTTAGGGATACTTGTATCCCTAGTGATGTGGGAATGTATGGTGGTTCTTTAGGGATACGCAGAACACGACCGCCATATTGCCGGGGATACACATATCCCTAGTGAGGTGAGCATGGGGATACACAAATCCCTAGTGATATTAGTAGGGGATACACAAAACACGGGGATACTCATATCACTGTGACACCGGTATTCATGGCCAGAAATGGAGGACATCAAGCGGTCGGGCGTGCGGGCTCATGTTTTCTTGATAATTCATGATCAGTGCACTATACAGATCAGTGGTTCAGTTTTGGCAAATACAAAATGGCTGTTTATTTTTACTAGTATAGCTCATTGAGTTTTACCGAGAACTAAATAATCTGAGCACGGCAGATTTATAAATTGAAAATAAGAAGAGATAACTAATGAATGGCTTTCAACACATAATTTCCATTGCAAACAAGTATACATAGGGCGCAAAGGCGGAATATCCGACATTGCAAATACAACCAGATATATAGAAAACAAGCAAAATTATAAAATATAACAAACTTTACGCCAACCGAGTCTTGATCGATGCTCAAATTTCAAAAGTCTACCAATACTCAATAGTTATAAATGTTTTGAAGTCGGCAAATCAAAATTATTACGAAATCCCGCGAATTTTAGAATGTTTACGAGACTACAGCCTATATTGACAGCGGTTAAAACCATTGTAACGTAGCAACAGCTTTATAAAAGCAATGGCGGACAACAAATATAACTCTTGGTGCGAAATTTGTGATATTTTTGTTCAAAATATGGTGCATTTCTCATCACAATTGGACAGACACCTCTCTACAAAATACATGCAATTCATCGCTTTGGGGAACATACTAGTGTATACTTTTACGCTTCATACAAGTGACAATAATAAAGAGGAATACTGTACGAAGCAATTCAGATATGCACATTTGACGATATCTGTAAAGAACGAGTTGAAATTGGACCTGCAAAATACCGAATATGTCGAAATCACATACTTTCCTATGCAGAGACTAGGCAGAGATATTGATTGCTCGGGAACATACTTAGACAACTCGAGTGGTACCAATTTTTTTACGGATAAAAGTTGGACAGAATCGGTGAAGTTTTAGATATGCACATTTTGGATTTCTCAACCGTAAGTTATCAAAAATACAAATTTTACATTATTCCCATTCAAATTATATAAGAAGACGCCATTTTGAATTTTTATTTTGAGTCAAAATGCGCATGCTTGGCAGCCATGTTGGACTCCATTTCTGGCCATGTCCTCATTTCGATAATGTTCAACTACCTTCGCTTAATTCCACGGTGCTTAAGACCTCCGGCGTTGTTCTTCTCACCAAAATATTGATAGACCGACTTTTCTGGCTCTTCTTCTGTGGCAATTTCCAAGCGCAATTGGCTAAATTTTAGTTCACGGTGCTCTTCTCCACTTCTCAGTGCGAAATTCTTTCCGATTAAGAAAACCATCGTGTCTAACAGCACATCAGCTGCACCGTCACCTAGGGCTCCTACACGCCACAATCGTTCTTCCTCTTCTTCGGTAAAACCTTGAGCCTGCTTTACTTCACTACCGACTCCCTTTCTTGTTAAACTCTTCATTTCTGCGTCAAGAGAATCTTGGAATAATTTGAACGATGGGTTCTCGAATAAGTTAAAGAAAAACCAGGTTTTTCATTATCCCTCAAATATCGCTGTATGCCACAACACATTTGGTACAGTGAGTTTGGTGTGTAACAACGTCCTGGCTCTTTTTTCTGTCGAACTTCGCCGACGAACTTACTGAGCCAATAATTTAACTCGTCATCGTGAAGTTCTAGAAGATCACAGTTCACCGTTGTGTACTTGTCTGTGCTACAAACGTCCTTACTTTTCCACTATTTCGCTCATTATCCCACTCAGCCCACACGTTCACCGTCCATGAAGTGCTTGCCTTTGTATTAACCGGGATCCTAGTCTCATTTCTCTTCCGCAACTCTTCGTCGCTGATAACAACAACTTGCCTTTGTTCGCCGAATTGTTCAGGTTCTTCGCCTAAGTCGTTTCTCTCAAGCAAACCGACTTCATTTTTCTCAACACCTAATACTTTGGCAATGAGTAATCGATCTTCAGGCTCTAACAAGCTACTTATATCAAAGCCTACATCTAGACTAGAACTCTCGCGAAAACTATTCTGGGTGATAAAAATTTCTTCGTCCGACTCGCTTTCTTCCATCCTCGTTCGTAATATAATAATGACTTCGCCAAAACTCACAATACACCCTAAAACAATCAATCGGCCCATTTACCGCCTATCTGTCAAAATATTTTCTTTTGTATTTTGTTTCCCATTGTTCTCGCTTGCTTAACCACGTATTCACAATACAATTATAGCCATTGAATGCGACTCCTCAATTGAACCACTCCGTCTTTAAGGGCCCATCATGATTAAGTCTTTGTTGACAACAAACTCTTTGTTGAAAACCTCCTCAATTATTATATAAGTAAGTTATATACCTCGGATTGTCGGCTTTATGCTAGATACATGTATCTAGCATAAAGCCTCCATCCTCGGTATATAACTCTTACCTAAACCATAGCCTATCGAAGGGGAGATGAAACTCATTAGAATAACAATATAACTCATTATCTATGTTGGTCAACGTTTATTCATAAATCTGGTCCTTCACCGTCACGTGTGTATTGTATTTTTACCCAACTAACCAATTGCAATGTTTTAGGAAAGTCACCTATCCGTGACTCGAACAATAGGGAAACTGGAAATTGCTATTGGTTGATTTGGTAAAAATACAATACACACGTGACGGTGAAAGGACCAGATTTATGAATAAACGTTGACTAACATAGATAATGAGTTATATTGTTATTCTAATGAGTTTCACAGTCATCTCCCCTTCGATAGGCCATGCCTAAACCATTAAACTAACCATTAAACTTGTAAAATCATGAAGTCCGCTCCCTTTCCCATCTGCATCCATCTTTTCCCACACATTGAAAGATACTAGATATGCATTTCACAAGACTCTGTAAGTGGTAGTCAGATCTTTGTGATGGGGCTTTATTCAGGTTTTCTTTCTTGTCCCATTCTATGGCATCTATGACCAGATTTTTTATCAATTTGTCTAGAAACATAATAGCACTAACAATTAACCCTTTCACTTCTAATATAAACCTGACAAATATCAATGTTTGTTATATAATAACTACAGTGAAACACACAATTTGATTGGTCAATAGCCGTGCAGGATCAGGCTATCCTGCACGAGAAATTAAAATGTCTTCGCGGGATTTTCGCGGGATTCTCAAAATGTCATTGTTTCACAGTAGTTATTTTATAAAACAATTACCGATTGAGTTCTTTGAATGTTTGCATGGCGATAAAATATAATTGTTTTGTTTGTGGAAACACCACGTAAATTTATTACTGCAAAGCTTTCGATCCGTAAGCCCGGATCTTCATCAGTGCATATTATTAGCACTGATGAAGATCCGGGCTTACGGATCGAAAGCTTTGCAGTGATATATTTAAGTGGTGTTTCCACAAACAAAAACAATTAATTATACCGAATGGTTTTCCAAGCAGGATAGCGTGATCCATGCACTTGGGATGTTGCTCGACATTCGGAAAGTGTAAAAATACACTCGCCTGCGGCTCGAGTATTTTTACGCTTTCCGAAAGTCTCGCGACATCCCTCGTGCATGGATCACGCAATCCTGCACGGAAAACCATTCAGTATTCCTTTATTCTGCTCTGTCAAATGGGTGCCACACATGGCCGCAATATCGGGAATTGCTTTTCCCCAACACTAAAATATCACTCACAGAGTTTCGTTTAACAACGTTTTTTATTCGCGGTTACGTATCACTCCTCTCTCTCTCGCTTCTCTCGCACACTCTCTCACATTTTACATTCCCATACTTATCTTGTCAATCATCTGTCATTTTATCTTAATCTTATTACTGCATATTTCTCAATGTTCCGCTATATATAAATGTTCAACAATTAAAAGTTCAATTTCGGTATACTTAGTATATAATGTCTATCAACTAATTAATGAAAACCCTAACAACTTTCCAAGAGCAACAATAAATTTGATTAACCTTGTTGCCTGATCTTGTTTGTCTATTAGTTAATTACACTCTGCCAATTAAATGATAGATCATTTTCCTGTAAATAGGGGAGCTCCAACAAGTTGAGAGTGGAATATTTAACAATTTCATTAACTCTAAGCACCAAAGAAAAGGTTACTAATTTGCAAGTGTTGCTTACCCACAACGCGCAACATTAGATCATGAAGCTCATCTAAAACAACATTCTCTAGTTGAATATCAATAAGTGGTTGATGTTGACAAGAGAATTTATTTCTGGTAGCCAACGCTTTAAGATTACTTAGTGTTCTCGCCAAATCTCCCCAGTAGAAGTCTTCAGGCTTCGACATGTCATACCTAGTAAGGTTAATATATATTTTTAAATTGCAAATACAATTAGAACAAGGCAACTTGACTGTTTGCTTCACAATCTCACAGCTTGATAACAAGTTGTATTTGTCCAACCCAGCTTGTCCCATGCACCTTGTTCCATCAGTATGTTGACACTTGACAAGTTGCAAAATACAGTGGTAAGAACCAATATATATATATATATATATATATATATATATATATATATATATATATATATATATATATATATATATATATATATATATATATATATACTTATATATATATATATATAC